CGGGAGATTTCGCGACTCGCGTGACTCGCGTGTCAAAGAGGTTCGTGTGTCCAAAAGCGAAGTTCGGGCGCGACGGAATATAGATCAAATGTTCCATCATTTCTGCTCCATTAGCCGATGAGCGTGACGTGTCGAAAACACCGGGAAAACAGGGAGATTACTTGTGTATGCGCGCGCGCGCGCGCGCGACAGTCCCGGGTCGAATTTTCAGGGCCTCCGACGCGGCTCTCCTCACGACACACGAAGCGCGAACGCGAACAGAGAACATTTTACCCGGCACGAAGCACATTTTACCCGGGAGGAAGGAGCGCGCGATATCTCATTTTCAGCGAAAATGAGCAAACGGAGCATGTGTATCGTGCACATATGTAGCGTATAGGAGCGAACGCGATATGTGTTTCGTTCGCAGTCGCGCAGTCGTTTCTCAGATGGTTCGTGGCATTTCGCGCTGTGTGTATGCGTGATAAACCTCCTCTCTCGTAAACTTTCCGGCAATTATATATACACGCGCTTCACATTTTACATCGATAAACCGGTATTACGGCGACGCGACGGGACGGGACGGACGAGTGTTTTGTAAAATACTGTTATCTTAGTGGAATATCGACGTTCGGACATCTTCTTTTTCGAGCGACAGTAAATTGAGCGGATCGATAGATAAATCTGCGCGCGAATAGTGCTTGCGTATTTCACTCCTGGGAGGAAGTCCATGCGCCATGCATGCTCGACGCTCAATAAACAAGCAATTTATTAAGTCGCCCATTAGTTGAATTCACTCGCCCAACCGCGGCTCGTAAACTTCATTATCCGCCGGCGGACTCGCGCTCACTCACATAATTTCGTTGCCTCACGACGCGCGACGTCGTACACGAAAGTAAAATCCATACACCATTCATCGGTATGCCCCGTGCGAGTCGCTCGGCCATTTCCGGCCGCTCGCGCATTCTCTATTCCAGCGCGAGCCGCGAGGCACACTACCAATCTCCGTTGTACTTCTGCCGGGCCGATGCTCCGAGGTCAGTATTCATGAAGACTTAGAAAGTGGAGAGACGCGTAGCGCGATACGCGATACGTGACTGATATGTCATTAATCATCATCCACGTCTGCGGCCCGTGTTTCTCATTCTTCGTTACAACGTGCGTCGCAAACTCTTGCGAAATCACTCGGCTAAATTTGCACTGTGCGTCCGCTGCGGAATCAAGTTAAATCGCGTGCGTACTTATGCAAGCGTATCTATAATAAGCGTAATGATTTAAAAAAATATTTTTTTGATCGTTATTCCGCGTTATACGCGGGAACACATGAGAGGTACAGTAAAATGTAAAATTTAACTTATCGCGCGCACAAACGCGGTGTGATCGACCTTTAATCATCTCTCTCTCTCTCTCTCTCTCTCTCTCTCTCTCTCTCTCTCTCTCTCTCTCTCTCTATTCGCAAACAGAAAATTACAATTATATTCAATATTAAAGTACAATTGTGTATGAAAGTCATAGTAATATTAATTTAATTCAAAAAAGGAAAGGTGGACGCAAGCGTCTATTGCTGATGTATTAGTCTGGTTTATTTCTGCTTCTCAGAGAGAGAGCAAATTAATTATTGGTGCGAGCTACGCGTTCGCCGCGGAAATACGCGGAACGCGGCTCGGTTATCGAACTTGCGGAAAGCGAAATGTCGAGTTCTCAACAATTACCGTTCTTGAAAGTCCTGTGCGATATCATATTACGTGTTACCTCGTAACTCGCAACGCGAAACGATGTTTGATGCTTTCGAGGCGCGTATTACTTCGAGCCGCTACTCGCGCGTTACCGCTCAAACTTCGCCGATACTCCCGGTCGATCCGGAAACTGGAGATTCTGTAGGGAAATGCGAATGAAATAATCATGAGGGAGAAAAGAGGAGGTGAAAGAAGGGGGAAGTGGCGCAGTTTCGATTACATTACCGGTATTTTCCCTGCGTTATACGAAACCGTTACTCGCGCCTTCGTACGTGCCGTTCGCGATTTTATCGCCGGCCGAGCCGAGGCGAATTTACGGAATTTAACGAGACGTCTTAATATGCGCGCGAATAATTTTTGTCGGCCGTCATTCCTCGGCAAATATCATCGAGTCCAGCCTGTTACCGTCGGAGAAGCAACCACACGTCGTAATCGCGTGTAACGCTAAACGCGCGAGGCGGACAATGAAAACGGTACGTCGCGAGCATCGTAAAGGCAGCCGCGCCGGTAAAAGCACGGGCTGGTCGTTAGGAAAGCGACCGGGACGCGTTCCGAGTGACTGCAGGCGACTTCGAAAGTGAGGCCTCGATCACGTTTCGTTCGATCGCCGGGGCTCGGCGTCGGCACGTAGACGCGGATCCGCCGAGCTTTGTTTTCGTCCTCTTTTCCGCCCGATCTTACGACGACGTTGCGGTCCGAATCCCGGCACGTTCCCGCGGCGAATCCCTGCTAGAGTCGTACCCGTGCCCGTGCCTTGCCTTGCCTTGCCGTGCCGTGCCGTGCCGTGCCGTGGCGAACACCCGGCGTTATTGAAAGACGCCGGGCTTTCCACGCGGGAAGCAGAAGTTCTCTTTCGCGCGAAACGCGCGCTCATCGACGCGCTTGTCGCTTAACGCTTTACAACAGTGTGGTAGTAGTCGGTTCAGCCGATGCTGGGTATATCGGGGTAACTTCACCCCCGGGACGCCCCGCATATTGCGAGGCTATGAACGAGAAAATCTTTTCGACCTGGAAAACTGGTCTCTCGCAGCAGCATCTTGCGCGCGAGCATCGACGGCAGAATCGTTGGAAATAATATTTGAACGCGATGTAGCTTTTGTATTGGAGAGGCTCGGTAAAGCGACGCGCTTTGTGCGAATTTTGCGGACGTGTCTTGTTGCACGAGACGCGCTCCGATATTGCACCTATATATGTCGTTCGCGAAGTAAGCGGTTCGGTTTCGATCGGCTCTTCTTCGGGCGAGTGTGATCTTTTCGATACGTTTCGAAAGTCATGTCCGACCGATAGCCGCGCGTTTCGGAGATAACGACGAGTTGCGGTGAGGTCGCGACGTCGTGCATATTAAATAGAGCGAAACGCTGCGAGAGACGCGTATTTGCGTCGATAAGCGGGAGACATGGCGTATTTAATTCACGCGCCGAAGTAGCGGCTTGTCGGTCTGCCTCCCCGGGCCATAATTCAATTTTGCTGGTTTTCCCCCTCTCTCTCTCTCTCTCTCTCTCTCTCTCTCTCTCTCCCCCTTCTCCTCTCGTTCGCTCGCTCGCTCACTAGCTCGTAGGAAACTCATCGATTTCCTGCGCTCGTAGCTTCGCCACCGCGAAATTCGGTTAAGACCGGGCGAATCGCTAATCGCGATCGCGAAATGGTAAAGCTGATTTGAACTTGCGCGCTCGTCGGCGAGCAGCAACAAATTTCCTCCGTTGTGCCGCTGCGGTCGTCGGCAAAAAGGAGAGAGAGTCGCGGCGCGTCGCGCGAGAAATGAAATTGCACGGACGATCTTTCGGAAGGGAGAAGAAAAAGGAGAAAAACGCGCGTCGCGTCGCGTTGCGCATTGACGATCGCCGCGTGCACACCGCCGCGGCCGCGGCCGCGCCGCGCGAATAGTCGCGCGATATCGGCCGATGCGCCGCGCGCGTTTACCGATGCGTCTCGCGTGTCCCCGTCGTATTCCCACGTTCCCCGTCCTATTTCCGAAGGCGAAGCGCTTGAATTCCGTGGGTAAACAGACTAAACCGTTGGCCGTTAAAAGGATTTACATTTCTTTTAGAAAGGTGGCACACGCGGACTGCCCGTTCACGTAAAACGCACGCGTTCGGGAGCGCGTTGAAAATACTCCTCGGAATGTCGGAAGTGACGCGCGTTTTCCCGTTTCCTCCGCGAATCTATTCCGAACGATTCGACTTGCGGGCGCCTTCGCGCGCGAGCGCGACGGAGACAGCTCCGGCTGCCGGTAGATATAACCGAAAATATTATCTCGCGAATTGAAGTCCGTCGTACTGTTTCTACGTTTAATTTCCGGTGCGGGGGTCGAGGCAGACAGAGAAGGCGCGACGAACCGTTCGTACCGTCGAGCTACGCGACCCAACGCGAACGGGGGGGAATAAAGAAGGGCGCGTCGAACGAGTAGAAAATTCGCGATTGGTCAACCTACTTCGCCAGAGCGAATCCGGTCGTCCCAGAAATCTTTCTGCGATTTTACGACGACCCCGCGGTTGAACTTCCGCGGCGCGATATTGCGTGTTTCCGACTGCGGGGATTTCGGATTTAGACAGCTTCCCTTCGAAGCGAGGCGGCCGCGCTGAAGTTAGGAATTAAATTTTCAACGAGTTCGCGAGGACAACTCCCAGGTAGAAGAGGGCAAAATAAAGGAGCACACTAGGAATCTGGAGAGAAAGGAAAAGAAAGAAGGAGGAAGGCGAACGCAATGTTATTTTCCAGCTAATCACTCGATAAGCATGTTATCGCGCGATGTGCAGCGCGCGACGAAGTTCCGTTCTCCGATATTTCCCGCTTTCCGCGGTTAGTTCGATGGCGAAAGAGAGAAAAGGAGAATCGAGATCTCACCGTGTCGCGGGACCACGTCGTTCCGACCGTTTGGCGAATTTTCGCGACTGTGCAGATTTCGAGTCGGGTTCGCGCGATCGCGCATCTGTCCAAGGGGATGCTGCACCTGCGGGGGTTGCGACGGACGGACGGACGGACGCATCGCATCGCGTCTCGTCGCGTCGCGGGACCGGCGAGAGCGCGTCTCCACCGCGTCGCGACGAACAACGCGGCGAGAGCAGGATGAGAAAGGGGCAGGGAGGGCGGAGGCGCAGGGGGAGGGCGAGAGAGGAGAGCGCAGGTGAGGGAGCGAAAGAGAGAGAGAGAGAGAGAGAGAGAGAGAGAGAGAGAGAGAGAGAGAGAGAGAGAGAGAGAGAGAGAGAGAGAGAGAGAGAGAGAGAGAGAGAGAGAGAGAGAGAGAGAGAGAGCGCGCGAGAGGGATACGTGGGGCCGAGAGAGAAGTCGCGATTGGTTAAGCCGCTCGGAAAAGCCCGCCTGGCTGCTCGACCGGCCGGCACTTCGCTCAGTTCTCCACTGCGCTCCGTGTGAAGCGGAGCTTTCGAGATCCACGCTCTCTCTCTCTCTCTCTCTTTCTCTCCCTCTCCCTCTCCCTCTTATCCACCGCGATCCGCGATCCCGGTTCATCCCTTCGATCCGCGGGATCCTGTGCGAGTGCCGGTCGAGACGAGGAGGACGTCCGTATCCGTCGAGAGGTCGCCTGTCAAAACGACCCGGACGCGACTCGACCTTCGCCCGGAAGGAACGCTACGAGAGGAGAGGAGGAGGACTCAGGAACGAGAGAACGCGACGATGTGCGAGAGGAAACTGCTGCTGAACCGAGTGCTCCAGGACGCGTAGACCTTCGCAGGACTCGAGCGATATCCCGGAGAGTGATACCGGAAGCCGCGAGACCGCCGAGAAGCAGCGAGCAGTCGCGGAGGATCCAGGATAATCGTGGTGAGTACGTTGAATTATTGATTGCTGTATTTGTTTGTTACGCGAATCTTGGGGGATTTGTTCCAAGCCAAACGAGCGCGCTCCTCTGCCTGTGTGTGTAATTCCGTAGATTTTTCGGAATTTCGGCAGAATCGCATGCCGCGGTACAGTTCGCTGATTCTCTTTGGCCGTAACGTCGTTACGCCGGTGAACATGATTGTGATAATCGATAATCCAATTTGTTGATTTCGCCGTACTTCAGTCAACATCGGCACACGCTGCGCGAACCCTTGTTACACACACAGTCCACACTTGTGCACACACAATGGCCGCGTTTTGCTTTAATGGTTCATCGTGCATTCGTTCGTTTCGTCATTCGTTAGAGTGACCTGTCGCGAAAGCAAGTGTCGCCTTCGTTACGATCGATCTCGCGCGATGAACGCAATCGAACGCGCGGCGATTGGCTTCACGCGCTCGCGCTCGCGCTCTCGACGTGATTGACGTGACTTTGCGTCATTTTTCTTGGCGAATAGACATTCTGTGCAACGAGCGACTGATGAGTATACGTCACTCGTCCTCGGGATCCTTCTTTGAGATTAGGGAACAAAGCCGAAGCGGAATCTACTCCGTATTAAGCATAAGCGGTCAAAGCGAAGCAACATAGCGCTCGTCGACGCTCGTAAACTCACATGATGTACCAGGCGCAGATAAGAGATGATAGAGGAAAATTAAGGAAACCTCTCTGTGCTCACTATCCCGTAGCTTTGTCGAGAACTCGCGCTCCTAATTTAAGTGCACAGTCGTGTTTCCTAGAGCTTGCAGCTTAAATCTAAAGAAATCCGACGCGTGTTCTAAGTGTAGGTCCCGTTGAAATTCTACCCTAAGAACATTGTGGAGAGAGAGAGAGAGGGGGGGGGAGAGAGAGAGAGAGAGAGAGAGAGAGAGAGAGAGAGAGCTCTGAGGTTAACTATCAATAATAACAGTGCCATCCGAGTCGCTGGTATCTTAGCGTGACACACTTGTCCCCAGAGGGTGTCACAGAACGAATGCCCTCCTAACCTTGGTCCGTTTCAACGTGACTTTCCTTCGCGAGAAAATGTCGTACGACAACATCGTTCATCATGTCTTGGCGATATTTAGCATTCTACGATTTTGTCGCCGAGAGTTTCGCACAGAGAGAAAAAAAAAGAGAGAGAGAGAGAGAGAGAGAGAGAGAGAGAGAGAGAGAGAGAGAGAGAGGCGGAATTCGATTAAAATATAATCTGCCTGAAATTATAATATTAACCGAGAGAGATATGCTTCAGTGTGAACATTTAATTCACCGGAAGCTTTGTAGTTTTTACCTTCGGTTAAATCCTCAAGCTAGACGTTTGCATATCTTCTAGACTTTATAAACCGACCAGAAAATTGTAGTGTGAAGGGCATGCAGTGGCTGCAGACCTGCGAGACTTCCTGTTTATTAAATAACAAGATGCATACATGATGCCTCGCCGCAGGATTAAAGGGGCTATTTGTTTTAATAAGGCATGCACATGCCTCTCTCTCTCTCTCTCTCTCTCTCTATCTCCCGGATCAGGAGAGAGAACCTCGCACGCGAAGGTTTAAAGAGCCCTTTTACTCCCGCTCGGCATATGGGTGACCTCGTTTGCGACCTTTTATACATTTTACCGGAGAAATGCGTCGTCCCCCGGGCAACGCCATGTTATTTCGCCGTTTCCTCCGCGGGAATCGTCCGAAGCGTTTCTTAATCTGGATTTTGCGCTATTCATAGACTAGCCGATAGTCGACAGAATCGATTCCGAGGCCCAGAAAGAGAAAGAGAAAGAGAAACCAGCGGTGCTCTTGGACGGGTGTTCGCTGTCGATCTTATTGAACGGATGAGACAAATATCTCCGTACACGCAACGGTCGTCAAAGATTGCGAATTTGTCGGGGATGTGTGTGTGTGTGTGTGTGTGTGCCAACGAGCGTGTATGGCGAAATCGTTGCAAAGCATCGCTCTTAATGAACCTGAGAACCGTTCAACTCGTTGCACGCGTGATTCCGATAGCTTTTCCACGATGTCGTCGATTTTCCAGTGAAAATCCTGGACGCGAGGCCTGGAATGTCTCGAAGGTCGGACACGATGTCGGGAATACGCGCAAAATTCGGGAACTCGCTGCGTCAATATGGTCGCGCGTATTTATATTATACATAGGGGATCTTCTTAAAACATTGACTGAAGGATGAAGCTGCGTTGTCGCGATATAGGCAGAGAATGAAGCCCAACAAAAACGTAGTTTCGGCGAGATAACACGCTTATATATCGATTTTTATGCTGTTTTCTTATGCCACGCGGTAATCAGCAGATTTCTATTATCTTAAACCGAAGGCAAACTATTAGGAATACCGTCAACTCACCTCTCCCGTTATATATTTCGCGGTCGATTGCCTAAAAATTCGCTCATAATTTGTTCTCGATCCATTCCAGTCTGTTTTCGTACGTCTAACTCGCGACGTTTGAGAACATCATCTTGCAAAAGTGGATTTCTCATTTCGCACGCCGAATCGTTTCAGTCGGACTCGAATCCTGTGCGATATTAATAGTGTGCACAGCGAACAGGTTTCTGGAAACGAGATTAGCAAGTTAAAGTTGAAGGAATCGCTTTAGTCAGACAATGGCGGATTGAAAGCGGAGGTTTCCAAAACCGACGCTTGTGTGTACATTTCCGCTGCAAAGAATATAGCGTGCGAAGTAAAAGCTTTATTGGACGCGGAGGGTGTACATATCTCGCGTTCTCCGGCCGTATCCCGATGGCAAGGATGGCAATCGATAATCGATGCAGCGATTTGCCGACGTATCGATCTCGGCCGGATTTTTGCGCGGCGACATTTCCGGTCAGTAAGACGGCGCGTTATTGCGGAATGTAAAACGACGTAACTAGCTATGGAATCCTAGTTATCCTCCATTCAGACCGAAACACCCACATTGCGTTTCTAGATTTGCGGTTCCACTCGCTCGTGCATCCTTAATCGGCTCGGTTTGCGGGTCTATTGATTCCTGGCGTTAACCGGATCCCGAATTCAGAACGCGAAATCGGCCCTTGATTGGCATTAATCACGACTGCGAATGTATTCGTGTCGACTGTAGCTCCCACCACTCGTTCGTACGTGGATATGCTTCACAATTGTTCCCGGTGCCCAATTTGTTCTTGGAGCGTGGCAGAGCTGTCGTTAATACCTGCATAAACACTCACACACACACACACACACACACACACACACACACACAACGCGCAACCCAACGAAACATTCCCGGGTTTCTTGACGTTAATTTAAGAGTCCGATTAAATGGCGAATTCGCGAGGCTCCCGCGAAATTGATTGAAACGTGGAAAATGAAATCGCAAAGAGCGAGAGACAGCGGAGGAATATCAAATGTAAAAGTGGAATAGCGTTCGCGCGCGTCGAGAACCCGACTTTGATTGTACGGAAATACGAAAAAAATGGGATCATAGGTAAAATAAACCGAAGCGGATAAATATTACGCTGAATGAACAAATATAAAAATCGGGATATTTAATTAAAACATTTATTGAGAGAACAAACAAGCGGCCATTGGTGGCACGTTTCGCGCGCAACTTGCGTATAGATATCGGCGCGGTGCGGCAATTGAAATAATATCTCGGATTGCATAAACGCGCGTGTGCGACATCGCGAATTGAACGCGCGCGCGAATTCAGCCTCGAAATATTTGAGAAATTCATCGAGCGGCTATAGTGGAGGAGGAGGAGAGGGACTTTAAGGGACACCACCATGTCGGCAGTTTACACCCCGGCGTATTAGCTCCTGCGCGTCTCTGTCGCGGTAATCGTCGGCAACCCGGGACGTAGCCCCCAAACTTTCCCTCGCAAATGCCGTCCACAATCTGGTCAGGAGCCGCGTCTTGATCTCGCGCATCGTTCCGCGCGGTGGACAACTCCTCTCCTCGTCGCGCGTATCTCGCCACTCGGTGTACTCGCGTTACTAAAGCTCTCGCAAGTCGCTAAACTCGAGGCCTCTCGACCACGCGCCGCGGGTCATGCGCGCGACACACAACGACGCGCGGATAACGACGTGTAGAAACCGCCCGAACTGGGTCGCGGGCACCTTTTTTCCGGCCGCAGCTGCAACGGCCACCCCTCTCTATCCAATCTGCCCGGCTCGTCGTGCTCGCGCGCGAAATTGCATCTGTTTCATCGGCATTCAGGAAGAGTGCCAAAGTTTCGATCTCTCGCGCGCCGATCGCCTCGCGAAAAACCGCCCCCCTACCCCTTCTCGTCCTTCTGCCCCCCCCCCGCCCCATCGGCGTTCGCCGTGGAATCCGCTCCGGTCCGCTGCTATATGCGGTGGATGTGCAGTCGATCACGCGGAATATCAAAAGGCCTGGGCTCACCGTGCGCGAGGGGATTTTTAGAGTTTTACGACGCGGCCGGCTCGACGTTTATGCGGATATTCTCCCGCGGCACGTTAACAATTCCCGGCCGTCTCTCCCGACGTTATTCCTCGTAAAAGCGCCGTTCCCGTCGACGGCTATGAAAGAGCGAGATTAAAAATAGCGGAAGAAATATAATTGATTGATAATAGAGAGAATTATACCCCGGGATCTCGGGGCGATTGCCGGGCAGGATCGAACAGTAAAGAGCTTTCCCGCGTGCGGGCTTTGACGGCGCGGCCGGATAAACCGAGCGTTTGTTCCGCGTTTAAATGGGGATGAACATCGTCGGAATATCGGGTCGACGTACAATTGCGCGCACGGCCGGCGGATATTCAACGTTGGAAATGAAGAAGTCGCGCGGCGCAACGAAAGAGCCATCGTCGACAATCCTTCCGAGCGCGCGCTTGAGAATATCTGTCGCCGAAAATGACAAGCTGAAAAAGACTGCGTCTATTGTTCTTGTAGAGTTTAACATTTTCGTTTCGAACTGAAATTCGAGAAAATGTCACGCTGGGGTTTGAACCGTTGAAATAATAGCGACGTTGATTTTCGAAATCGCGCATTTGA